TGAGGCCCTTTAAAAAACAACAAAAAAAACAGAACAAAACAACAACCATGATTTTATTATGGACATGGTACTCATATTGGCTTTTCCACATGCTGCCTGCCTTGATGCTGTATTGACTCATGCATCTCTTCTCCCTGATTTTTGGTCCTGCTTCTTCCTGCCACACATACTGTTGAAGTTCAGTGAAAAATGGAAAAGCTGAGCTGTTGGCCACTGTCTCTGGTGATAAAAATACTGTTGGCAAGTGCTGTGTAAAAGAGCAGAAACAGTTCAGTTTGCACAAAGGCGGCAATATCAGCTGATCCATTAGAAACCTACTGTATCTCCCTTTTGCTGTCCCACATACCCGCTGACTCTGTACCTGCTGGCTTCTAAACGGCTGTCACTCTGATTGCTTCTTCCCTCAAAATGAGCTTTTGCTTTCATTTCTTTCCTTCCCTGTCAGCATCTGATGCACTGGCCAGTGTCCGCAGATGTTGGCAGTGCCCATTGCACAGGGTGTATGCATCTCCTAAACCACCACAGGTGGCATGGTCAATTGCTGTGTGTAGCTTGTGGCAGATGGGGGAGGGACAAGCAGCACAGGGGCAAATAGGGCAGAAGGAGCAGCAGAAAGGGCAGGGAGCATGAGGGAGGGGGAGCATAAAGCAGAGCAGTAGATAAGGGAAGAGGATCAGAGTGGCACATGCTGCCCAGAATACGGTCAAGGGAACAGCCCTCTCTCATGTGAAGGGTAACTGTCTTTCTGTTGACTGTGGTCACCCCTCTTTTTGCAGTGACCTTTAGAAAGCAGAGAATCGCCTGGTGTCACAAGGCTGCTGGGAGAGGATTGCATATGTACAACCTGCCTTGGGTTGAGTGCAGCTGGACTGTCTGGGGCATGAATTCCTGTGGAGCTTGTGTTGGACAGCTGCAGTTGGGGAAACGCTCTAACGCACTTCCATGTTTCTTTTAATTCACGATTGCTCCAGACCGTACTGGGACAGCAGAACCAGTGCTGAGAAGCTGAGGCAAGCAGAGAGGAACAGCTTTCTGGAGTGGAGGCGGCAGCTTGCCTGGTGAGTTGCACTTGTGTTTAGCGTTGTGGAATTTGGGGAGTGAGGGGTGAACTCCTCCATCTCTGTAGGAAGCTTCTGACCAGCAGCACTGCTTGAGCTGGTCCTTATGATGTTGACAGTTCAGGCCCATGTGTCACTTGTCCCTATGTAATTCACCCTCTTTTTCCAAAGTGTGAACCATAATATGCTTGCAGCTGGGGCCTCGGGTTCTGCCGGACCTCTTCAGGTGAGGTGCAGTGAACGGTTGCCTCCACAGAGCACCAGTGCTTACCTGGCTTCTGAAGGAAAGTGCTGCTTGGAGAAATGAGAGCTCTCCCTTCCCCCTCCCTCCTCCTTCCCCTGTGAGCAACTGTGCTGGCTGTGGCTGTAAGGGCATATCTAGGCTGCCTGCTGTGGTGCTCTGTAGAGGTGCCCAAGCAGCCTCTTCAGTGACCTTGCTTGGGCTCTGGGAGTCACCTCGCAGAAGGGGCATGGATCTCCTTTAGAGCCGGCGTGCCCATCTCTGCTGTAACATGCAAGATAGACATGCCCTTGACTGCTGACTAGCAGCTAGCTTGTTGGCCTTGCAGGTCATTTCTGCCGTTCTGATGCTGTCAGTGATGTTTGCCAGTCTGTTTGCTGAACTTTCCCACCCTCTGATCACTTGAAGCTGTAGTGAGAGAGGAGCAGGGGTGGAATATTCTGGACGTGCCCTGGTCACCCTTCCTATCAGCACGCGCTCTCTGCCACACCATGAGATGGGATATGGGGTTGGGTGGACCAATAGTCTGGTGCAGTAAATGACAGCTCTTCACCCACCTGACTTCTCCCCCCTCCAGTCTCGACCCCTTCCTGTTGTGCTGAGTTGCTGTCTTCAGGAACTCTGCTCAAGGTCCTGCCAAGAGGGTCCCTGGTGCTGAGTGGGGGGGTTGTCAGCTCTTCTGGGTGGCGAACTGAGTAGAATTGAGGAGAGGCTGGCGCAGCACGTACTGTCTGACATGAACTATGCGTGGTGAATCCCCCTTTTTTCTGCTCTAGGCTGGAGGAAGACAAGAAACTAATTTTGACCCCGTTTGAACGGAATTTAGACTTCTGGCGCCAGCTCTGGAGAGTCATTGAAAGGAGGTAAGGTTTTTAGTGTCTTTTTGGTGGAGGGGAGGGAGCGATTGCTTTTAAAAAAGGAGAGCATGGCTTCTTCTGTTGAGCCATTCTTAGTTGTATATAATTTTTTTCTTCCATTCCCTCTATTGTAATGGTTCTTGAAGAAGTTAGTCCGGTACTGATGCAGTTCCTGAACTGTGGGTTCAATTTCAGATTTTACATGTAATTTTTCTCAGTTAAGCACCTTCAGGTTTAAAATATTAACCTGTCCTGAGAGGGCTTTGTTACTATGCTGCCCGTGAGCACAGGATGAACTCAGACATGTAATTGAAAATGCTCTATCTTGGGCCATATCTGTAGCCATCACACATTTCCCATGTGCTGACACCCCGCAAATTGAGATTTTTGATGAGGCTGTATTCCTCCAGCCAGCCCTGCAGTCTGAAGCCAGTTGGACTCGTATTCCCAAGTCACAGGAGCTTTTGAACACCCACCCTCAGATGCCCAAATATGGCTTACTCCCCTAAAGCTGTGGTCCTATGGTTAATATTTTGGTCTTAATATAACAACGGAAGTTACTGCAAACACAATCAGACCCTTGGTATCTCTTTCTTGTGAACACTGAAGCAGCTTTATTCAGAAGCGACAGAACTGAATACTTCGAAGCCCAGGTTTTTATTCAGAGTACAGTTCTGACCCCTGGGGCTCCAGACACTAATATGGGTGCTTAATTCTACTCATGCTTCTTCCCACTGATCTTGTGCTGCTGTTGCACCCACAGTCCTTTCTCTAGACCCCAGGGGAGGTCAGGCTGTTGGTTTTAAACCTTCCACCTTCCCTCCCCACATGCACCTGTCCATTCTCTGGCCCCAGGGCAGTGGGAAGATGCAGTGTAAGAATAGCAGAGCATGGGAAAGCCAAGGTGAAGTGACAGATGGACTTCTGCTATCCTGAATAGGGTTACGGCTGTGTGTTCCCTACCTGACTCTAGGTATAACTGGTGTTTCTGTGGTTGAGCTGTAACAGAATAGCCAAGCCATCTGCCCCCTCACTGAGATTGAGGCCTTTAATTTCATTAGCAGCTAACTTGGAGATCACATTTCTGCTGATTTTCAAGAAAACTCCCATGAAGAGCCCCTTTGTATTGCCTCACTGACATGGGAATGTGGGTGGGTGAGCTCCTATGTGGTCAGAAGCATGTTGCCATGTGCCTGCCCTCCTGTGCAGTATGCAGGTCCTCCTTTGTTTAGGTTGTGGAGTGCCACCCCAGTCTGCACATACCTCAGGAAGCTTACGTTGGGCTGTGATACCAGAAAGGAGATGGGAAAGGCAGTCTGTGGACCTGCGGGCTCAGATTTGCTCCCTCCTAGGTGTTTGCTTGTATTTGGCTCATTGTAGTTCCAGAAGTCACAGACAACTGGGCTTCTCTCATTTTCCCCCTCCTTACACAACATCAGTGGTACCTTGATTCCAGGAGATTTCTCTGCTTGCTTGGTTTCTGGTTTCCTTAATTTTTATCCTATTCCCGTGAGTCACAGAATACTAGAAAATGAGGGTTGAAGGGATCTCAGGAGGTCGCATCTAGTCCAGCCCTCTGCTCAAGCCAGGACCAGCCCCAACTACATCATCCCAGCCGAGGTTTTGTGTAGCTGGGTCTTAAACACCTCAACGATGGAAGATTCCACCGGCTCTCTGGGTAACCTGTTCCAGTGCTTCACCACCTTCCTAGTGAGAGAGTTTTTCCTAATATCTAACCTAAACTTCCCTTGCTGCAATTTGAGACCATTGCTTCTTGTTCTGTCATATGCCACCACTAAGACCAGTTTAGCTCCATCCTTTTTGAAACCACCCTTCAGGGATTTGAAGGCTGCTATTAAATCCCCTCTGTCTTCCCTTCTCCAGACTAAGTAATCCCAGTTCATAGAATCATAGAAAGTTGGGTTGGAAGGAACCTCGGGAGGTGATCTAGTCCAACCCCCTGCTCAAAGCAGGACCAGCCCCCACTACATCATCCCAGCCAAAGCTTTGCCCAGCCAGGTTTTGAAAACCCCCAAGGATGGAGCTTCTATCATCTCTCTGGGGAGCCTGTTCCAGAGTTTTACTACCCTCCTAGTGAGAAAATTTGTTCCTAATATCTAACCTGAACCTCCCTGGCTGCAACTTGAGACTGGTGCTCCTTGTTCTGTCATCTGCCCCCACACTGAGAGCAGTCCAGCTCTGTCCTCTTTCAAACCTCCCTTCAGGTAGTTGAAGACTGCTATTAAGTCTCCTCTTCTGCAGACTAAATAATCCCAGTTCCCTCAGCCTCTCCTCACCAGTCATTTGCCACAGCTCCCCAACCGTTTTCATTGCCTTCCACTGTACACTCTCCAACTTGTCCACATCCTTTCTGTAGTGGGGGGCCAAAACTGGACACAGGACTCCAGATGTGGCCTCCCCAGTGCTGAATAAAGGAAGAATCACTGCCCTCAATCTGCTGGCAACGCTCCTGCCAGTGCAGCCCGGGATGCCGTTGGCCTTGGCAACAAGGGCACACTGCTGGCTCCTGTTCATCTTATTGTCCACTGTAACCCCCAAGTCTTTTTCTGCAGAGCTGCTGCTTGGCCAGTCCCTCCCCAGCTGCACTGGTGTATGGGATTGTTCTATCTTAAGTGCGGGACTTTGCACTTGTCCTTGTTGAACCGCATGAGATTCTTTTTGGCCCAATCCTCCAATTTGTCCAGGTCTCTCTGAACCATAACCCTACCCTCCAGCCTATCTACTGCTCCCCCCAGCTTGGTGTCATCTGCAGACTTGCTGAGGGTGCATCCATCCCATCTTCCCGGTCATTGATAATGATATTGAGCAAAACCGGAACCGGCCTCTGGAGCACTGTGCTTAATACCAGCTGCCGGCTAGATATTGAGCCATTGATTTTTACTGCCCTTTGAGCCTGATGTTGCAGACAGTTTTCTATCCAGCTTGCCCAACCTGGATTTTCTTAGCTTGCTAGTGAGAGTGTTGTGGGAAACAGTATCAAAAGGCAGATGTAAATGTTTTCTCTATACTGTGCCTCCCATTGGATGCTGCTAGTAACAAGTGCAGTTGTGTCTGCATGGTGTGAGATTTCATTACATCTCCAGCTTTCTGCAGCTGTATTTCTAGTCTGTGAAGTTCCTCACCAGGCACAGAGTTGACTTTGAGGTTAACAGTGTGAAGGAATCTTTTTCCACCTCTGAAAGGTGATGTACCAGCTATTAGCTGGAATTTCACACTTGAGTTTCAGGAGAAGGAAAACTGCTGGTTGGACACCAGTGGTATTTTTAGCCTAAATGCATTGCTTTATTGAGAAATGAGTTGTTTCTGGTAAACTGGGTTTTCTCTCCTGTTGCACTTGCAGGTCATCATGCCTGCAAGGCAAACAGATTTGTGCTACAACCCCTTATAATGTGCCTAGAATTAGGAGGGTACCAGAGAAGAGTAGCAGTGATGAGAGCTGCAGATGAAATCCTGTACGGTCACTGTGAAAATGGGCTCTGTACATCTATCTTGACTACCACCTTATGTTACTTTCTTAATGCAAATTGAATCGAGTGCCATCCCAGGGTGTGAGGTGTGCTAGAAACAGTCTGTACTTTCCCCTTCCTGGATGGGGGTGGCACAAGCAGAGCACAACATGCTTCTGTTTATTGCAAATTCATGGAAGTGACTTTGAGGAAGCACCACAGGTGCCTATATATGTGTAGTGAGGCTGCTCCAACGTGCTGTAATTGCAGTGTGTCAGAGCAGACTCAATTTAATCAAGTCAGCTGGAGCACGGTAATTATCGTGCTGCAGCAGACTTCAGCATCACGTGCATCAACATCCCCACATGGAAAAATGTCAGTGGGGGCACCTTAACTAAAGCTCATTCAATGAACTTCAGTTAAAGCACCCCTGCTGCCATTTTTCATTGTGGGGAAGCTGATGCACATAATGCTCTAGGCGCCTTAATTAGATCAGCTCTCAGAGCCTCTCTAATTAGTCTGTCCCCCTGCCCTGTGAGCATGTCTAAATGTCCTAAGTGCCTGGACACCAAACACTGGGGGTTGGCTGCTGAGCATCTCTGAAAGGTGGCTTCATCAGTGCAATGGCATGTGCTGATGCAGCACCCCCTTTTCAGGAGCTCAGGGCATTGCTGGGGAAGGAGACACCAGTGCGTGTTGTTGGCTGGGATGCGTCAGAACAGCAGGAGCCCTGTGAAGGGAGCAGGGCTCTCCTGGGGTACATGAGCATCGAGCACTGGGATGCTTTGTCCATGTGGTGAGGCTGCTTAGTGGAACGAACCAGTATGATTGACAGGTGAAAATGCTGGTTCTTGTTTAGTGGTTTTTCATGAACTGTGGTTGATCTTCTCGTAATGCAGCACATGAGGCTTACTGGGCTCCCTCTTGTTTTGCAGTGATATCGTTGTTCAGATAGTAGATGCCAGGAATCCTCTCCTGTTTAGGTGCCAAGATCTGGTAAGTTAAGTGAAGCAAACCACCGGGTCTCAGATTGTGCATTCAGCTGTGTTGATGCATTGCCTGAAGCCGTCTTCTCTTACATCTAACACATTGTGGCCTGTGTCTTCTGTGCCTCAGATTCATGTCAGCATAGATTATTTCTTCTTGCGAATGTTCTCCTGGCCTCAGCAACTTTTTTCCACC